AACATTGATGTTTTGTTGTTGGATTAGTATAACTACATTTTGTAATAAAGCCTCGCCTAGGTTGGAGAATGTTGTTTCATCTTTATTGTTAATAATTTGCAAACGCTGGTTTTGTGAAATAACACATTGTGGTAATTTTAAGGATAAATCGAATCGTGTGCGCTAAAAACACTCGGTCCGTAGCCTAAGTGGTAAAATTAATGCTGAATATTGGTGTTTTATGGCTCACAGCAACATCCTTTCAAGATTTAATCAAGGTAATAGAACCTTAACTGCGCCCGAGGTATATCCACATTACAAATTGATTCTTTGGAAAAGCACAATTTTGTTAATGGCTATGCCGCGTATAAGTCTTTTTCCGACACTGTACTAGATAAGTAGAGAGTTGTGCGGGCGGGGGGCGTCAGATCACCAACTTTTCCATTACATTATGAAATTCTAAAAATAAACAACGGACGCCTGTGAGGCATTTGCAGAAATTGCCCGTCAATTCCGTCATTTTCGACCGATTCCGGAATATTCCGGAGACGGAGATTCGGTGGGTGGTAGGGGCCATCGGCGTCTCGCAAAGGCGCAGCAGAAGCGAGAAGTAACGTCCATTACCTTAATGCACTGTTCTAGTCCCTCTCTAGGCTGATTAATATTGCATTTCTTAGTGTTGGGGCACTCGGCGTCCATCTGCCCCCCAGGGAGCGGCCCGCTCGCATTCAGAAAGCACCGAAACTCAGAAAGCATAGTCGTCTTACACCTTCCAATTCGACCTAACCGACGTGACAGTTCTTTGCGGCCCAAGCGCCACTTCACTTTTTTCCTTCCACCTTAAATTTTAAAACCTATCTACAAATTGCCTGTGCGATGCTAAAGTGGACTGATGTATAATGCAAAAGTTTTCGTATTTTACGCGATCCATAACGATGCGCAATAACACTATTGTCTCAGTATTCGATTCTTTAACCCCGACAAAAAACCCACTTCAGTGTAATTGGTTCCCCCATTTCTAATAAATTTCTAATCCAACACAATCTTTTAGCAATTGGCTAAACTTTTACTTACAAAGTGCAAGTGCTGCAAGTGCAACAAGCAATAGAACATTAATCACTTCACAGTAAGAAATAAATTTATTGCAAGATTTTTGTCGAAAACGATAATAGAAAATAAACCATTTAGAATTTCTCACTTTATTTCAAATTTTTGTTTCTTTTTCAAATTGATTCTCTACAACTTTGTTTTTACTTTTTTGTCTTTATTCGATTTTGCAACACTAAAAAAAAACAAAATTTTGGGACTGCTGTTTTTAGACGTGAGTCGAAGAATACCAAAAAAAAGCTACTTTTAGCTTTTCTGTAACCTAAATCATTTATAAAAGAAATGTGACCACTACAGAAATGCGTTGATTATGACATGATCTAGCAAATCTATTAATTTGAAATAAAAAGAAAAATGGTTATTGGTTTTACTCTCATGCTCTCAAAACGTTAGTTCTTACTGTAGAAATTATTGAAGAAAGCATTTTTTCGTCTAGCCACATCTCTGAGAGAGTAATTGTTTGGTATAATTAGCGTGATAAAATGTTTGTGTTCACATTAGCGTCGTGTTGTTAATTATCATTTAATGGATGACACAAGTGCCAACATTCATAAAAGTAACGCGTCATGTGTGTATGCAAGTGAATAATACAAAGAGGAGTGGTGTAAATTCCCTACTTCCCTTCCGACCAACATGCTACCTAAATTATTTTATTATGATTCTACACCGACGTAAATTTAATTTAATTAATGTTTCCAGCTAATTTGTTTCAGTTGTAGACTTTCCGACGCTTTGGGATAACAAAATTTCCATTAGTCATTAAAAATATATAACATTATGGTTTATTATGCTTATTTTTATTATCATTTCAAAGACTTTTGCATATCAAATAACACATTTTTGTACCTGGTGAGTGATTAATTAAAAGGATGTGCAATTTACGTCACCATTTTTGGTTGGTCATTAAGCACATTACGTGAGAGCAAAATGAACAAGCTTTCTAGTTTTGAATATATTGTTAGAAGTTTAAATCCATTTAGGAATATTTTCTCCTACATCAGTTATTCAGCTAACGTATAATAATTACTATACATGTACAAAGTTGCGAATGCATTCAACCTCCATTAATCTAAAAGGAAATAATTGGAATCTAAGTGCACTTTGTGAGAAAACAGAACGCCATCATGAACTAAACACGCTCTTAAATCCGGTCCTGACCGTATCTCGGCGAGATTAATTAAAGAAGTTTTCACCGTGCTAGCAAACATAAATGTTTAATGTCCTGTAAAATCGTTAGCTTTCGATTATGCAGTACCAATTTTCTGTAGCTGTAGGTATCTAATTTTTCGAATTATCTGAAATTGACGACGTTTCAAACATAAAAGAGCTTTCCGAGCTATAATACCTAAAATTACGTATATAAAAAGAGCAGCGCCATCCAAACAAACGATCGCTGATGCAACATCTGGATGATCCTCCACTTACCATCATATTGTAATCTTTACATTCCTTTTCCGTTTTTACGAATAGAAATTATATTTTGCTAGTGCTTGGGAATTATTAATAAATCGATCACTCGGGGCTAAAATTACAAAATCAGTAGCAGCGTTCCATAATGGAATGAACCCTTCAGCGCTCTTCAAATAAATCAACAGAGAAAGCGTTTCGTATGCTGAAAGTTTCACGTGAAAGCTCAAACACGAAAATATCGGCTTAAGTGTGGAAGATGCAAATATACATGAAGTTGGTGGCGTAAAAGCAAAAGCTCTTCTTGATATATTCGCTGTTAAAACGGACAGAAACTTACAAGATTTGAGTAGAGTATCGCGAGAGTGGCGGGCGCAAGGGGGTGGAAAGCATTTCTTTCAAAAGCTAAGGTCTTAACACTGACTGGGCTTTTAGAGGATGTGTGATGTGACGTGGCTGGGGGCGGCAGGGAGCCGGCGGGGCGCCGAGAACTCGCACTTATCCAGGAAGTGAGGAATCCATTAAGAGCCCGAACCTGCTTCTTACTGCATTCTCTACACATCGCATTACATCATACCACCATTACATGCAATCTGCCACCAGGCCAGCCGCCCCCTACCCCAACCTAAATACGTCTTAACAAAGAAACATGAATAAAGATAAACATAAAGTCGCAACAATAGAGCGCAAAAAACTTTTGAGATTTGTTAAGCTGAATTTGAGTTTTTTAATGGCCATTTGACAAAATTCTTATTACAAAAAATTCATCACACTTTGCTTTACTGATACATACGTGCTCCACTTTCATAAATTTGCAGTTCCACGTTTGTTTCTGTTATCTTCTCATGTCATGCTATATGAACTCAATAAAAATTACAAAACAAATGAAAATTTATCTTGTTCTGGAACTCTAGAGGCGTAATTTTTAATTAATTCCTCTGCTGTTCCCATTACTTATACATGGCGAATAAACCGTCAATGTCAGAACAAGCCCGCTATATATCTAATTTCGAACCCCCTAAAGAACCACAAGAATAAAAGATCCAGACAATAGGTGGAGTTCTAAATGTAGTCGAAGTAGGTGTACGATGTACGGCAGTCAATAAAAAGAAAGGACTCTACTAACATATGTTACCGTTGGGGCTCAGAACGCAATACCATGGATATGTAATGACCGTACAGACCTCTTTCCCACTTTCCATTGCAATATAAGAGCTCTAACAACAACTTTCATTAAAATTTACTACGGCCTTCCACCAAATGCTTTTATTAAATTACTTCAGGTGGTAAAATTGGGCGGCTTAGTTTTTTAGAGAGGGTGCAATCGACAGGTGAGAAAAGTTGGTTATTTCAAAAGTTCGTGCTCTCTATCGATAACGTAATAAAATTTGTACTTTTTTTATTGGTTTTAGTTATAGAAAAAAAGAAGAAAAGTATAACGCCTCTTGTAAAAAATTACTTTAATTTAATACTAAAAATAATATACATTTAATAATAGAGATAATAAATCAAAAAAGATGAAACTGAAAGAAAAAAAACTATTTTTATAGAATCAAGATGTATTTTGCTGTATATGTGGATAGATTTTGTCGTTTGGCGCCCTCAAGTAAGATATAATGGAATCACGTTTTTAATCAATACTGGAATGCAGTTCTCTGTTAGAAATTTTCTTAGGGTATTGTTGGTTGCTGACTTTTTAGTACTTATGTTGAAAGTCTTTTGTTTTTTTTAATATGTGGGTACTTCCCCTTGGATCCTCTTGGTATGGAAACGATGAACAAAAACACGATTAAACCCGTCACACCAAACTTTTATTTCAAACACTAGTGTTTATTTCAAACACAAAAAGTTTAGGTGTTCTTGCCTTTGTGTTGACAACACGTAGGTAAGTAAAATGTTTGAAAAACTTTATTAAGTACAGAAAACAAAATAGTAACGTAAAATTTTCCCACAAATATTTTTTACAACTGTAAATCCAGAAGTGAAACGTTAAATTTCTCAATTCTGATGGAGTTTGCGACTATGCGTTTCTTGGGTATTTTTATTTCTGACTTTTTGAAATCTATCACACACTAAATATTACGAAACTAATTACGAAATCGAGATATTTGTATTAATTTTTCGCATTTAAAATGTGTGTAGTGTTATTATATTTGTGCAAAAATAAAAAATGAAATGATATACATTTTTTTAGGTAACTTTATTAGCTTTTTATTAAACATAATATAGAATGAAAGTACATCTAGACAAAAAGACTTACGTTGTAAATAGCAAAAACAAATCGAGTACAGTAGCAAAGCGCAAAGCTGTATATTAGACCAACATTGTGGCCAGTGTAGATATGTACAAAAAACCTCAGGATAACCCTGGTCGTTCGAGGAAGTCTTTCATAATCTTATACCAACTGGTAAACGGAATAAGCCGTTCGAGTCTTGTTCCCTTTCTGTCGTATCCTCTATCAAAAATGGAATTACAAAAAATTTTCCAAAAAAATATGCGTCCTCAAGCATCATTTTTAGTATTAATATTATTCCTGCTAAAACCACAAGCTAAAAGGTGGAACAATCTTAACCAATCAAAAATCAACTAATTTCGTATGGATTAAGAAAGTTCAAAGGATCGGGTCGATGAATCTAAGCCATAGTTAAAGTACCAGCGCCCATTCCAAAACCAACTCCCTTCGGTCCAAAATTTCTTCCGTAGCAACCTCGGCAGTAAATTTCGCCATCGGGGGCGTCGTTTTGGTTGGTTGAATCCAACGAGCGCTTGCATTCAACACAAGAGAAGCATCTCTTGTGCCAGATACCATTTTTGCTGATCATTTGCTCAGCAGCGTAGACGGCGTAGCCACAACGACGACACCCTTGACCAGGGGCGGCTTTTGGCCCACTGTTGGGTCTGATATCATTGTGAATTGCTGCAGGAGCACCATCAGCACAAACCAGGGTTGGTGTGTGACCAAAACCGAACCCTTTAGGACCAAAAAGCTTGCTGTAGCAGGCCCTGCAGTGGATCTCACGGTCAGGACCGTCACAAGCTAAGACTGAATCGAGAGGACGATGACATTCTGCGCAGTTGAAGCACTTCTTGTGCCACATCTAGAAAAAAAATTATTTGTTTTGGAGACAAAATGAATGAAGGTTGACGTACTGTTCCTTTGGCCAGTTGTTGCTCGGCAGCAAAGACCATTCCTCCACATCGGGGGCATCCTTGTCCTGGAGGAGCCTTGATAGAGGTCGTATCGGGATTATAGAAAGGTCGTGATTGCGAAATTTCATCTTCGCTATAAGGGAAATATTGTTGAGGGTTTGTAAGTGTCAAAGTTTGAGTATATTTACGTTAGCCCATCAGTCTGAAGAAAACCTGAACCACAAGCGAAACCGTATCCATGAGGGCCCCACTTTTTGCCATAACAGGTTTTACAATAGACATCGCTATCAGGTCCATCACAAGCGATAATCGAGTCGAGAGTTTTTTTGCAATCCTTACATTTGAAACATTTACGATGCCAAGGTCTTCCTTTCGCGAGGACCTCTTCGGCGGCAAATACTACACCACCACAACGGGGACAACCTTGGCCTGGAGGAGCTTTGATGCAAGCGGTGTCAATAACCGTGGTTTTGGGGGCAGCATCACTGAAAGGTCAGGTTTTAACCTCCAGGTAGGTCTAGGTTTGGCAATGTATTAAAAGGGCTTTGCGGAAAGCAGGGTTAGGCTTATGACAGAGGTGCAACGTTGACGTTTACAACATAGTAAGTACCTCTGCCAGTTAAGATCCAAAGCATCGCACATTAGTCCAAGAAAAGTACCGCCAGCATGACCGATTCCTCGAGGACCAAAGCGTTGAGCATAGCAAGCTGTTGAAATATATGGACACAAAATCAGAAAATGCAGGCAAAGAGCTTTGAAGGGAAGAAAATACCAACCTAACGGCGTAACAATCGCTTTGAAGGGTGCCACCACCTTGGCCGTAACCATATCCTTTCGGTCCAAATTTCTTTCCGTAACAAACTATAGGACAACACAGTGTATCATTCAAAGGCCACAAAACATATATTTAATAACACATGCTCAACACTAGTGGCCTAACTTGTAAAAATTGAGTACAATGTTAGGCCACTTGTGATTTTGTGCTTGACGCACCTTTACAGTAAATATCCTTGTCTGGACCTTCAGAAACATTAACAGAATCCAATCCTTTGTTACACACGGCACATTTGAAACAGGTTTTGTGGAACGCCTAAACATAGAAAAAAACCATCTAAGACATTGTATTTGTCATGCTACATGAAACACGTGACAAAGGGGGCACACAAGAGGTGCATACCTCTGCAATAAACTTCCCCGTCTGGTCCATCACAATGTGATGTTGAATCCAACCATCGGGAGCAATTATTACAACGAAAACAAATTCTGTGCCAACCCTAATCATATTTTGTTAAAAATATTTTCTTGTATTTAAAAACTTACTCTTCCTCTTGCTAACATCTGTTCGGCAGCGTACACGTAACCTCCGCATCGTGGACATCCTTCGCCTTCGGGGGCCTTTGCGATGGCTTTTGGCAAAAGGGGGGCTCGAGAAACAACAATATCGTCGCTAAAAATAGAAAACGTTTTCAGATTTGAATAAAACTATTGTGGAGTAATATAACAAGTTCTGCGGTTAACTGTACAGAAAAAAGCGTGTAATTGCGTTGAAGCGCTGTTGCCTAAAAATATGAGCTAATTAACCAATAAAAATAGAAAAAGAAATGAGAAATTGTAATGAGAGAAGGTAAAGTCGGTCCCGATGAATTGAAAACCTACAACTACTGTGATACTTGAGGGCACCTTCCTTATCCCATCACTGGAGTTAGGGAAGGAATGACAACTATGTTAATAGCGAGAAGAGCAGATTGCCTTTAGCCATGCTTAAATCATCTATTGTCTCACCGTTCTTCACGCAGCTGCTGTGTGTGGGGGAGTGAGTTAGAAACCGAAACCTATTTCACTTTTAGCGAGTGTTTTCGAGGTGTGATTTGAAACGAATTGTAATTTTTGACGTGATTTATTACGATTCAATTATTACAAAATAATAATCGAATTGTTTGTACCATGTAAAACAAATTTTTATAAACAGTAACCTATTTGTTATTGTAAAATCTATAAATATAACACAACATATAATTAATTATACGTGGGATGGAAGGAGTAGGTTTTGTGAGGCGGCGATGGTGGTTGTTGGTGACAAGGCCGCTCTTCTGTCCCTGGCTGATTCCTTAGGAGCTACGATAGAGAAAAGGGCCACGTCATGCTTTGGTAAACACTCAATACAGGATGTTATCAACTCGGCATCGGCTTCAACCAAGCAACACTTCTGATTAGCAAGCAAATCAATAGCGTCGCCATCAGAAATGTTAACTTGCACAATCAGGCACAACGACAAGATAAGGAAAGCCCTCAAGTAAACAAGAAGATCGTAGCCTTTACCGATACCTCTACTGTGTTCTTTTGTGTATAGGGGTCAACAAAGGAGGACCAAACACTTACCCTTGTTGGAGATGAGAACCAGTGTCCATGCTAAGACAACCGGCACCACCGCCAAAGCCGTAGCCTTTGGGTCCGTACTTGCGGGCGTGGCAGTTCTTGCAATACAATTCGGCTTCGTGTTCTGTGCAGTTGGTGGAGTCCAACATTTTGCCGCAAAGGCCTAAAATTTCTTTAAGTAAACAATATTACAAAATTTTCAAAATCTTACCGCATTTGAAGCAGGACTTGTGCCATTTGTAACCGCCAGCTACACGTTCTTCAGCGGCGTAGACGGATTTTTGGCACTTGGGGCATTTCGGGTTTTCGGCAGGCTTGAAAGGCATCTTGATCTAGTCGACCTGAAAAAACAAAAAAAATTGAAGCTTATAAATTAAAACCAAAGACTTGAACTCGAATTTTTTTTCAAAAAAAAGTCAAAATATGGCGCCGAAATGCATCGGTGCACCTCTCGCCTCTTATTAGGTCAACTGGCTCGGTTCCAATGGCGTAATACTATGACGGCGGGTTAAATTTAGTTCTGGCTGAGTGCCAGCGGCGTCCGTCGGTTACCAAATAAGGGTACAGGTGTGATTAAAAGCGGTTAGGTTTGACACTTTTTGTCACTAGATACATATCACTTGAACACTCGCGTACCTGGTCGGAATCGTACAGTAGTCGGTGGAGAGGTCCTCAATGGTGTCTTTACACTACAACCACTGAAATTCGAATGCCCGCACCAGGTCCTCCTAGTCTATAAAAGTGCTTTTGCACACGACCCCATGGATATCATGGAGGGGTACGACACATCATAGTGGAATATGCTGGGAATAGCCTTTTGAGCAGCGTTCTATTTTCGGTGGATGCAAGGATGACAGATGGACTTTTTCGATAAAATCCACACCTTTTGCGGAAATTTGATACGGCCATACCTGGAGAAAAAAATGGGGGAATGACGTCGCTTGATAAATATATGCTGTGTTAGTCATGACACGGTTTTTCCTAGTCTATGCGATATTTGGCAACGACTTATTGTTGTGCTTTCTGTGATACATCACGAGCTACGTTCGCACACGTGAACAAACGCATTTTCACGCTAAAGAAATTTTATTTGTGAAAATCTTTTCTGTGAAAGTGGTGATTTTTGCAAAAAAAAACAATAACAAAGTGACTTGAACTGTTTATTTTGTTATCAAAAATACAATACAACTGTGAAAATTGCATTTTTATCTAATTTATTTAAACCTCAATAAAATAACATTTACAAATACTTATATTTAAATAAATTTTGGATGATTTATAGCTGAATGTTTTTTAAACTAAATTTACGTAAGTAAAATGGAGAATTTTGAATCAAATATGCTGCATTAAAATTTTATTACTCATCTATTTAAAGATTTAGAAACAAATAAACAAAACTACTATTTTATTTATTAAATATTATTTTATTTATTCCACAATTGAGTACAGATTAAAGAAGTATGAAATTGTGTTCTATTTAATGTTAAATATTACTGTTACTGTTATTTTTTGGTTAACAAAACGTTCTACTCCTCTTTCTACTCAAGCAGAAACGCTCAGTCATCGATTAAGTGCATTGTGCTGCTGCAACACTGTTACCATTTTCCGTAATCATTTTACAATTAAAAAAAATTAAGTCATTACTTACTATTATACTTACATACATATTACAACAATATATACTTTTCTCTTGTGACCTATTATGTGGTTTAAAAAAAATATTAGTGAAACGGGTAAGTAGGTATCAATAAACATTGTTAAAAACAAATCTATTAGTTAATTTTTTTTCTATAAAACATCAATACGGTTTTCACTTAAAAAAAAAATGTTTAGAAACTAATCTTGTAGGTATTTTGTATTTTAAAATCTGAATTATAAATTTTAAATTTTAATTACGAATTTTAAAACCAAAAAGTGCAAAATTTTATTTTTGTTAATTTTTTTGCAATAAATTTAAAAGATTTAAGGTTTTAAGAAGATAATAGCTAACAAAAATACGTTTTTCCAACACTGTTATACTGTTTTTATCGTGCATTTAAGCTTATTTCTTCTGTTTGTCGTTAATAGGTATACTCTTTTCTATATATGTCTATGACAGTATTTTATAATATTTTGACACTATACACTTTTCTTGGTATTTTGTCTATTTTGACAAGCTTTTTTATAATTTCTAAATTTAATAAAATTTTTGATCTAATATTAGTGTTGGAAAAAATTTTGAAGATACTACGAGTTTTATAGTTTAAAAATCTCGGACTACAACCTCGATTTTTAAACTATCTATAAAACTCTTGTTGTCTTAATAGCTATTATAAACTTTTGAATCGTTTAACTAAATTTGAAATACTTATTTAATTATTTATTATTTTATTTTGTACTCATTGTTAAAGAGTGCTTTTATCTACTTATTTCACTAGATAAAGTAGTCTTCTATCGTCAAGTGAAATAAAGTAATTTTTATCTACTGTTTATATTTTATCAACTAATTTCAGTAGTCCTGCATCGTCTAGTGAAATAAAGTAATTTTTATCTACTGTTTATTTTCAAGAAATTGTGGTAGATGAGTACAAAATAAAACGAAATATTGTACACGACTATGAAGATTGTTTATCTACTCGTGAGAAAAGTCTACTCATGACTTCGTCACTCGTAAACTTAACCTTTTCCCTCCTAGATAAACAGTTTCTTTATTGTCTTGTATGATAAATAACTATTATTGTGGAGTTAAAGTAAAATTAAGCAAAAGTGGATAGGATCTCACAAAATCTATTTTGTTTTGAAATTCACTGTAAAGTCAAGTTCAATATCGATATAAGTTGAATATATTTATGTGTTTTGTAAAATTACTCATGGAAAATTTCTAAGCTTATATATAAATATCTTACGTCCACACCTAGTTTAAAAAACTAAAATATTCCACATGTGGCTGAAGTACTTTTTAGAAAATTAATTAAAATGCTGCCAAAAATCCATGACAAATTTACCAGTAATTTGTAAAAATATCAAATTATATTTTGTAATCGTTTAGTTGATGTATTTTTGGAAAATTATATTTAATAAAATTATGTAAGTGTCCTAGAATTTAAGTAAACAGCGCGTCCTCACAATCAGTTTTGATCATCATTACGCTATTTTTTTATTTTGAGAAAAGTGTGGGTACATTATAAAATAGCAATAAACGTCTCATTCACTTAAAATCCAGATAAGTGTCTTTCTTTTTGAAATTTATTGCAATGTCGGTGTATTTTTACCAAAAGGCAGGTGCTAAAATAATTATCGTCTGAAAAAGACAGTATGGTCACAGTTTGTTGTAAAACTGTAGAGTGGTGTTGTTTTGGTGCCCACGCAAATTCGTTTAGTCAAAAATAAAACTCATGTCTTGCTTATGAGTCACGTTTACGTTAAAAACCGATAGAGAAAAAGCTTTTGGCACTCGTTTTATTATTCATATTCTAAAATTATATCAAATGTGATACAGAAAAAGCGAGACTTTTGAGACGGGTTTTACCATAAGCGCGGCCATGAGATTGGCGAGGGGTGCCATTGCCAACAATTTAATTGGAAGGTCTTGGTGATAAATCATCGACAGTGCCTCCACGAAATCTAACTCCGGCGAGTTTTATGAGTTCGCAGCTGAAAATAAGCATTGACTTAGTTTTTAGATTTTTTTTTCTTTGATGATTCATATATATATATTACAAATAGCTTTAATAAAAATTTTCAGTTTTTGGAAATTAGTGTTACTAGTTCGTTGACTTAATTTCGGTGACTGGTATATTTATACTTTGGTAATTAATTGTTGTAGTTATTTCAGTTGTTACTATTTCAGGAATTTCGAATGCGCCTCGCGTAGAATTATTACAGTTATGTAATAATAAAATTGAATTATTTGAAGATTCAAAGACGAGATTTATTTTGCGAATTTTCTAAATTTAAACACATGTGGGCGTCTAACATATGTGAAAACTGAAATTTTACATGTTACATATGCCGTGAAATAAGGTATAAACATTTCACTTAGTGTTTACCTACACTTTACAAAAATGTAAACATTATATCTATGCTATATAATAAAGATTCGTCCATTCTTAAGAAAACATCTCAGTCACCTATAGCAAAAGAAAAAATAAGAAAATAAAAAACGCAGTAAATATCTGATGTTTCGTAATTGTGGTTCATCGAGTTTCAGTTTTTATTTCACAATTTCAGGAATTTCAGAAAGTGTGTTTAGTCTCTTTCTACAAACTGTCTAAACTTTCATTTCCTTACACTTTTCATCAAAAACATTTAAAAATTAACCAAACCTCAGTTTGTTTCAAATAATTAATTCTTGTTTCTTCAGATTCGCTTTTATCTACTGTTCTCACATTTCTAAGAATTCAATTAAAAAAATATGATTAGGTACTCCAATATATTTTTTTAATGTAATAATTGAATTATTAGATAAAAACAAGTCTGAAAAAAGAACAAGTCTTTTTAATTAGTTTTTAAAAGCGTGGTTAATTTTCTAATAGTCGTTTTGGTCTAGTTCAAAGTTTCAAGAATAGGTGCCAATTTTTTGACAAATTTGATTTACAGTAGATTAAATTTTCCGATTTATATATTTTCTTGTGTTCTAACCTAATTTTATTACTAGAGTTTTTAAATATCTGAGAAGCTAACCGAAAAACATTCATACACCAGCGCAAAAGTGTCATTTATAATTTTTATATTAAAACATTCTACAGGTATTTGATCAAGTAGGTATTTTTAGGTGATTTTTTATGTAGTAATAAATTATATTTTGATATTGTGACAAGTTAATAGTTTTTTTTTACTTATAATATTTTTAGTTCGTTTAGCTACATTGTACCATCTTTATAATCTATCTGTTTATCTTATCTAATCTTTACAATATATATATATATATATATATGTTTCACATTCTTATCAGTATTGTTTTAAACAAACTGATATAATGGCTTCGTTTAATAAATGGCGAAATATAGTTTTAATAAGCGCTGTAGTTTTGCTACTCTGCCAGCAGGATTCTGCTGCTGAAAATTTGTGTCTTTGTCCAAGAGTTTTTTCACCGGTTTGTGCTTCAGATGGTCAAACTTACTCCAACAAGTGCGTCTTCGACTGCGCATTAAAAAAGGGTTCTTTGGAAACGCGATCAAATTTGAGGATTTTAAGAAGTGGAGAATGTTAAGAGTAAAGCGCTATTATTTATAATTATGCTGATGTAATCTGCTATATATGTAACTATAATAAAATTGATTGAAGAATATTTATGGGTATTTTTTCTTTAACAGAAATTTATCTACCGGTTCTTGAGACAGATAAATTGAATGAATCTATTGCTCAATTAATCTAGTTAATCTTGATTGTCATTATCTGTCATACGATTAAAGTCTAAAATTCTGCTAAATTTATTGTGTTATCAACATGGGATATTTTGGAATTCTTGGAAAATCGTTGTTGTTGTTTGCTCTGCTCCTGCTTTGTCGACATGGAATCCTCGCCAAGAAACGTTGTGTTTGCTCGAAAGCATTTGCTCCAGTATGTGGTGTGGACGGAAATACCTACGCTAATAAGTGTCTTCTTAAATGCAGATTAAGGGAAAAAGAAGAGAAATTTGAGAAGCTCTGTAATTTGCCTATGTTTCAGCATTTCTTTGAATGTACAAATCTGTAATTTGTAAATAAACATACTGTTCTGTTTTGTTATCTTGAAAATATTTTTTTAACTATGTAATTAGAACAGTTGAACAGTAATGAGGTTCTTTGAAATTTACGGTGAACATTTAGTATACCTGGGTGATAAAAACATGTAGTCGTAATTGAGTAGGTATAAATTTTTGCTACAGGCGGTAGAACCTTGTACTATTTAAAATTAGCTGAGACAATAAAAATTGTTTGATGGATTTCTTGGAAATTTAAAAATGTGACTTTAAATATTTGTTTTTTTAAAATCTAACAAGAATAAATAAACCATTTCTATTTGTCAGATTTGTCTAAAGAATGTGTAACCAAATAAAATGTTTGAATTGCTAATTTTAAAATAGAATGGTATATAAAACAATATAGTATTTCCTTTTTGTTACCGTGAGAACTTAAACGGCAAGGGCGAATCCAAGAATTAATTATGAAGGGGTAAGGGGCATCCAAAGATTTTTTGAGAAATACTGAACAGTCGTGAATCAGAAAAGAGAAAATAAAGTTAATTTTTGCACCTACATTTGAGGAAGAACACAAATTTTCGTAAATTTTTGTCTAAACAATGTCAAAATTGACAACTGAAATTCCCTGTAGGCATGGAATCAAAACCATAAATCTGTTCTTGTTGAACGTATTTGAATAGGATAAACATTTAGGTATTAAAAGACAGTTCGTTTTTCTAGCAAATGTCTTTTTTCGAAATTGAAACGTATTAAGTTTTGTAATTGATCACTTTGTCAGCTAGCGGTCCAGTATAGAGCTTTATTTTCTTCATTACTGTATAATATACATATATTTTCTTATTGTGTTGCTCATTGTGACACCAAAATCGAAAAACATATTTATTTTTTAATTTAAATAGGTGATAGACACACATCTAAAAGAAGATTTGATTTTTGAAATGACGATTTTTAAACAAGTATTTGTATTTATAAAAACATATTATAACAAAGCTTTGTGTAAAGTGAATCTAGACACATTTAGTGAAACCGAAAGCTATTCGACACTACCCACGATGTCAAAGATGTCTGGTTTTAAAAATAGTTGAGATATACAGATGTTACTGGAAAATATATTTAAAATATCATGGAATTTTACACTGTTTGTAGCTACAAAATTTATAAAAAAAATCTCCGGATTGTTTCAGTAAAAAAAAACTTACTTTTATTTTCTTTCAAATTCTACATTCCAAAATTAGCCGACTGAAGTGTAACTAATTTTCTGATAAAGAATAAACTAATATTTGAAAAATACGTATCGAATAATCTAAAGCATTCTGAAATTATTTGAAATTCTTAATTATTTAATTAAATATCTAGTAAGTAGTGTGCAGTAACGTATGCTGCCATCTGCTGTGAGGTTGAACAAAACGAGATTAAGACACTGCAGAGCTGTGCTACAGAGAACATTTAGAAAATGTGCAGAAATCCCTTATCTAGAAGCCAGATTTCTAACAGAGTAATCGTCGAAAGAGGACAGGGAAGAATGAAAATTAGTTTTGTTCTCTCGATTTTCCAAAAGGTGGCAATAATTACAGTGACTATATTAGAGTCACTGTAGCACTGTAGGGTCGCTACAGTGACTCTAATATAGTCACTGTAGCAATAATTAGAGACCCTTTAAGCAATAATTACAATATAATCAAAAGAACTAGAATCCTAATCACCAAAAATAATCTGACACAAAATTCAAACTCGCAGTAATGCGGGAATTCTCTAATAATATTTTTTTACACTCTACAGTGTTTTTTTCAATAATCTTTGTAAATTTTATTATTTTTATTTGATTAATTAACAATATTTTAGTTTATACTTTTAAACTGTGACAAAAAAGAATATAGACCTAAATAACCTTTACCTACAACCTTCATAAAAATTTACCCAACTTTAGTCAATTGAGAATATTTTTTCGTAAAGTAGTATATACCTGCAAAAAACTGAAAGTTGAACAAAACCATCTATTTAATTAACTTGGGATGAATTTGATTTATAATGATATTAATTAGTCTCTATGATAAAAAAAAATATTAAATATAATATGTATTTTGAATTTTTAGGGAGCTATTTACAAAATGCAAAATTAATTTTTAATTTAGAATTAATTCTAATTAAGTTGTCATTTACTGTGCATTGCGCCAAATTAATCGCGAATTAAAATTAATTGCAAGTATGTAGCAGATTTAAGATAATCATCCTTGAAGCCGTCAATATGTGTTAAACGTAATTTATAATTCTGTCTGCACTTTCTTAGCAACAGTTAAAAATAATTTCACTCAGCTAAACAAGATTTAACTCGTTCAAAATGCACAAACACTAAATTTAAAGTTACAAAATCATACAATTTAGAATAATTTACACTTTGTAAACAGTCAGCCATATATTTCTCAATATACTACATGAACTAATTTATATAAACCTGGAATAAATTAAAGTCAGTGAATATTTTCCAATCTAAAGGAAATATTTCCATTCTATTTATAAATTTCATGAAACATGACCGTGATGCGTCCTCAATATTTATGGAAATGTATCAAAATTAGATCCACCCACGCCCTTTTAACATGAATCGCAAAATTTTCTGCGACCGTATAAGAGAAAAAAACACAGGTTTATAAATAAATAAATAAATGTATTAATAATTTTTATACATTATATAAGAATTTAAATATAAATAAAAAACGTATCTTGTGGAAATATACAGGTACAAATAAATATCAAAGTGATTTACTTTCCAAGGATAATTTTGCGGCCAGCGCCGATGTTTTGTCCTGCTTGTGTGGCGCCCTTGTTTTGACCAGCTTGGAGCCCAATAATGGACTCTCCAGCCCTCAACTGTTCCTCAGAAAACTCGCGTTTGTTCTCATCGGCGGGTTTGGGGCCAAGGTAGGGTCCTTTCCATTCAGGGTGCTTGTAGGTGGTCCTGCCCAACGCAAAAATGGTGTTTGTGACCTGGCCAATGTCCTTCTTTTCCCACAAGTCTACAGTTTGGAACACGTCAACGTCCGCGACTCCGTAGGCTTTGAGAGCAGCCTGGAAGCTATAACAGACGTAGGAAAATTTTTCTCGATTTTTTACTAACTTACTTGTTGATATTTTCCATCATTTTGAATTGGCCTCCAGAGGTGTTGATTTTGGGGACGGCGCCGGGGGAGAGCTTGTTGATGAGTTGGCACAAAACGGTTCCGTCGCGGATAACATCTTCGTAGAGCTCACCTGGAGGGAATTTGGCGCCGAGAACTGCTTCAATCCATTCTTGCGCTTCTTTATCTTGTTGGGGGTTGCGCTTGGCGGCGATTTTAGCGCGAACTTGACGTTCCAAAGACATTTTGTTGATTTAGTGTTGGTTTTTGAACCTATGCACTAAGTTAAGAGACTGAAGGTGCACGGCGTCGGTACGCTTATATAGGAGAACGTGCTGAGGTTCCCACCATAGCGTCGTGACGACATGCGTTCTCTTGTATCACTATATTTAGTAGATTATTCAGTTTTCATTATCACAAAATATTCTAGAAGTATTTTGCGAATTCTATTTGAGAAAGTCAGGATTATTTCGGAACACAGTACAGTTAGTTCGTTTATTTTTCCTTAATTTTATACACGAAATTATTACAATAGTGGACTAGAATGTGAAATAGAATGATACTGTGAACAACCTCGAAAAATTACACGGATAAGATGAACACAAACATTCTTCTCTTATATGTACAAATATACAATGACTTAAAAAATACAAAGACACAATCCTTAGTATACTATTTATGCACTATTTACAATAAATATTTACTCGGGTTAAGAAAATCCGTATACCAATCGTATAATTCGATAAATCAATTTTATTTGTGACGGATTTCCAAATTTTAAAACACATTCTCTGCGATTTCAGAGAGTCAAAATTAAAATTATTTTATTCGTGTTTGAAACGTTTAAAAAAACTGCATACTTCTTAAAAAACTGGACGGCGAAAGCTTTTTTGGCAATTTTAATTCTATTACATTAGAAGAACAGTAACATACAGGTAAAAACAAAGGTGAGTAAAATTAGACATTTTTTGTTTTTGAGTTAAAATCTCTTTCCTGTTCAGAAAATAATGTTGTACAATCTAATTTATGAAACATTTATTTATATTTTAATGTACAGATGCAACATTTTTAACTTTAAATTGCGAAAAATGCAACGTTAACTAGAGCAAGGTTTTTATAATAGGTCAGCATTTCTATTTCAACCGTTTTTAAAATATGTTGTATTTTGTAATGTTTGACTTAAACCAATCCAAAATTCACATCTAAGGTTCAGTTTAGTTGACATTGAATCAAAATTAGAATCAAAATTCGAAAAAATACAAGTACCTATGTATGTGATTGTTTATCTATTTTTTTTATTTGGCCTCAAACACTGTTTAAAATCTGTGATCAGAATAAACACATATGAAAGTAATCATAAAATTTCCATTCTTAGTCTGCATTACGCGGACCATATAAACACCGGTTAAATTTATTTGAAGGTTATTTTGATTTGCAATTCCAGAATGACTCTTTGAAACCGTCACAGAATGTTCTCAACTAATCCAAATTTCCTAAAAATTGAACTTTCTAAAACAGGTGATTGGCAGCAGCAGTGGGTTTTAGATGATCTCCTAAGAGATACGATGCTGCTCCTCCACTTGCTCCAAGAAGTGTACTAAAGGGTGAAGATAAGGCAGCAGCTGCGGCGGCTGCAGCATGGGATCCATGATGGGTTTGAAGATGGGAAGGTTGTGAAGAGAGAACTTTGTTGGCTTGGTGCACCAGCAGTGCTGTGTTACAAGACTGCGGACTCATCGACCATTTGTTGTTGTTGGAGATGATTGCGTCTTCACTCAATTTTCCTGCAAAAAGGAGAAAAATTAATTTTTTTCAAAAGTTTTTTAAACATAGTACAGGACAAAAGTTGTCACTCACTATACTGTCTCAGATTTTCTGTCTGATTGTGGTAAATAATTTTAATTAATTGATTAATTACTTAAAAAAATGTTTAATGTGGATATTCTTGAATAAAATAGTCAGTAATTAATTATAGGAGACGGCTAGATTTGCGACTCCATAGCTTAGAAGAACTCTCCTCATCAAGTAATATGACATCAGATTGCCGGCTCGAGCGGTTCCTCGAGCGCTAGCTAAAGAGTTGACAGTAATGGAAATAAATGAGCGGCAGCGGGCAATTTTCTAGATTAAATGTCAGAATGGCGCGGCGAGCTGTCCTGCTGCCGTCCTGCAACCAGCACCAGGAAAAGCGAGGGCGAAAACGGACCAACGGACCCTCCCACTTATTGGGAATGAATAACACATATGAAACGTTTTGATGCTCGCCAGATGCTCGCTAGATTTATCTCTCGAATATAAAAATAATATTGTCTCTTTCGATTCCATAAAATGTGAGCGTTCCGACGCTCTTTTTGATGCATCGCCGTCGACCTTTGTGAACGTCTATTCCATCGACGTGCCAATTTTATGCCGTTCTGTTTACATTCAGCTATGGGATGAATATGCAGCACATTTATATCCACTTTGGGCTGCATCTAAACCATTTTAAACCTATTTTGTCACTTTTAAATTATCGCAAAGTTTGCTAATTAAGTGCGTCTGGCTTTTGACGAGATGCCAGTTCTATTTATTTTGAAACAATAATTGCTTTTCAGCTAGAAACTAAAAATTACCATTGCCGTTGACTGGTTTCACATCAACTCCGTTGGAAGATTGGTGGCTGGAAATGCTGCTTGTGTTGGAATTCGGCGTCGTCGAGATGCTTGAATGTGGCGATCCTGGTTTGATGTCTTTGCTCCCATTTATGCTACTCTTGGTGTTTCCATTACTCTCAGCCTTAATATTAGTTGGTGGAGTCGAATTCTCTGAGTTATTCGAAGCTTTCTGTTGAGCCAACCGTTCCTGCTTCCGAAATTTCGCCCTTCGATTTTGAAACCAAACCTGGAAACATGAATTTGCTTTCATTTAAATATTAACGAGAAAAAATGAAAAATGTTCATCTTTCGTTGCCTCGCTTGTTAAATCTGGGATAGTCCCTCAATGCGGATTCAATCAAACTTGTAAACATCGAGATGAGAGCCGAATACCGATGACTCTTAATTGTCTGCCAATAAAACAGCGGTCTGCTCAAATCAGAGAGAAATCAGGACCGACCAGTGCAAGACGATCCTTCGCAAACACCAATCAACAGACTTTGTCGGATTGAACGCTTCAGTTACTCGGTGGGGCCATCCGCGTCATGCTAATTTACGTACCTGCAAAACTGCCGGTTCGCAAGTCAACAAACACGTGCAAAAATGCGCGACGGACAACAAAATTAACACAAGAAATTTTAATTGTTTCAAGTGGTGCGGCAAACTTTTCACGATTGGCAAAGCATGCAGTGGCTGAACTGCGGCAAAATCTAATTTGTAGAAAATAGGCCAATATTTTTAATTAATGAATATTTTAATTATCTTTTACAACTAATAACTAAAAAATAAGCAACTATTACTTCGGTAGTCCAAAAGTGTAATCCATTGTAGAGTTGTACAGAAGAATTGTTTTCTTTTAATTTTGAGGTTGGGCATGGGGCATAACGAATAACAGTTGACAAGATCGTGAATGTGTGTCACATCCGACATTATTAGCTCTATGTCGAATTTAAATAATTTCGACCCCTATGCCCGAATTAACGCGATTACAAAAATCAGCACGCCCTCGTTTCTCTTTTCCGTCCGTGCAAAATCAAACCCTGTCTGTGTATTTGCGAAAGCATCGAGACCTCCACCACCATTTATACAGTACACAGTGGCAAGCTCTCGTGTATACGGGATGACACAATAAATAAAAGCAGAATTGATTACGCTGATTGCCTCGCGGCCTGCGTTTAACATAAATAAAACGAACAGAGCGCTAAATTGTACGCGGGAGCAATTTTAATCGAGCCTCGTACTGCGTAATTACACGGCAGAGGGTGGCAGCGTTGGCGGCGGCGGCGGCATCATGCCCCGCCAATGTTTATGAGTTCTTTAAATATTATTACTCGGTACGGGTGATTGTTGTTTGCACAACGATACGGCTAATCATGCGTGATGAGGCAGTTAAGTGGCGCTGATTGATTCGAAGCCTGGCCCGTGCTGCCACCCCTCGTTTTTTACCTGATTGGGAGGCGACTTTCCGGTTGGATTTGCATGGACTGTGACCTTTCAATTTAGAATAATGTCGAATTGGAGTTGCGCTCCTTCTAATAATACGTGCTACGACGCGTTTCAAACTTTTATTCTTCTAATAATATAAAAGCTACGTTTGACATAATTGGCGGTTGGAAATCCAGAGACTTTATTAAGCTGGGTAAGGTTAATAATAAAGTAGGCCCTGTGCGCTTGCCGGAGTGGCACTGTCGCGTAAGCCTACTGAGATGTGACAGCCTTTGCCAACGTCGCCGGAATTTAATGCCGGAATGGGCAAACACGAAACTGCCTTGTCTCCAAACACAAAAGGACAACCAGAGATCGACAATTCTACTCACTTGGAATTAACAATTTTAATAAATACATTAAAATTTAAAAAGTTTTTACCTAGGTATGCCAAAATTTAGCCGTTTTAGGAAAGAAGAATCATGTTATACTAATGCAATTTTTTTGTAGCGTTCGTCCCTTGGCCGCGGGCGTCAACTACATGGGTGTATCGGGGCACTCATTGATAATAATGTAAAGAAAAATCGTTTTCCTTAGACCTACTAAAAATTTTATGAGACATTATAAGAGATTAACCAAACAATGGCTTTAATTTGTAACCCTCCATAAATGGCACGTTCTTTTGCAAGTGTTGCTGCACCCACCAGAATAAAACAGGGCCGTATTTAAAACCAAAGTAGTGGTAGAGTTTTACCAAACTATTATTAAAAAAAATCTGCTTTATTTAATAATAACTTGTTAATAACCACCTGGCTTTTTTAAATTTCTTAAAATACTTGACTACATCAAAAACTATTAAAATATTTCAAGTATTTTAGACAAAAAGAAAGRAAATAATCCGGCCCTGTTAAAAARTGACCTGTTTCAGGGRCRGGGTGGGTTCCACTAATTTATGATTTGTTTACTCTCTGGTTTACTCTTAACAATACCGCATTTAACTTAAAAGTAATAAAATTTTTAGTAGGTCTTAGCAAAATGATATTAGTATACTCTTGTTTAGTGTAAAAAAAATAATAATAACTTTTATTAATAATATTTAGAATTTCGTATTTATTCTAAACTTTTTTTAGTAACATTACATTCTTTAAAATCACTTTTAATTCAAAGATGTCTTAAATCTTTTATTATTCTATTTTTCTCTTCAAGAAAATACCATGTAAGATAAGATACCAGGAACATGGAAAAAATATTTAAAAAATTCTATCTTTAAAAATTTCCAAGTTACGAGAATTAAAATTTCGCACTTTGACTCTAATTATTTCTGTTCAAAAAATTATTTTCAAATTGTTTTGCTACAGGCTATTAGAAGAGGAAACAAGGAAGCTGTATCCTAAACTATAACTCTGTTTAATGTTATCTGTGGCTTTTATTGGCAAAATTTTTGTACTGTTGGTGGACATAAAACTGGTACAAACATGACAACGTCAAAAAAATCGCTAAAGTCTGTTTTTTTTTAAATGGAAATTACCAAGTCAAAATTTTGGTGAAAACATTGGTAGCAGCTTATCTCCATAGCCACAAATTTTGTTTGCTCTTTGTTTTTGTTCCTAGAAAATTTATTAAAAGATTATGGCGTCGTCTGCGTTGATTGACAGTACTGTCAATCAACGCAGACGACGGATTATGGTTATGTTTACAAGTTGAGATGTTGTCAAAATTTTAACTTTTATGAACCTTGTGCGCCTGATTGCTCTTTGGCACTATAATTGAATACCTGAGGCCAGACATCATTACCTAAGGTCTAAAGACAGAATTCAGCGCTAATAATTTTGATAGAAACACATCGCAAGTAAGAACACAAGGACACAAAAATGCTACAAAAACTTTAATGAAAAAAAATGGATATACAGAAAAAACGTATTTAACAAAAGATATAAGCAGGTATTATGATGATTGGCAATAAATTTTGTGTAATTTATAGAAATGGGTTTAAAGTTGATACATTTTCCAAATTCTACTTCAGCTTTAGTTTCAAAATTGTTACTTTTTCAGCTCGTTCCGCAAAAACGATGCACAAGACACTAATTTAATTGTGTTCTTTCTGAGGTTCGTTCTTATTCTCTTCAATTTCTTGCTAAAAATTGAGAATGTTTAGCAAACCTGCATTACAAATTGCGCCTACATTTTAACGGGTTCTTTTTCCGGTTTCCAAATTTCTAAAAACTGTTAGCAATACCGTTTCGTCTCTAAATTTTCTTAGGCGATTTTTTGTGTTGACGTTTAATGACATTGTTTTCAAATTAATTCAAAAACCAGAATTGCCAACTTCCTTTATTAAAATTACAATGAATGAATTTGCCTACTAGTGGTGCCAAGGTTAAGACTGTTTGGCATTGTGATTAAAAAAAAACAGACTTTAGTTTAGATCGGGTAAATTTGGCTTTTTGACTGTTCCTCAATGAAAAATGGTCGTTTCTAGATTTGAAAAAAGGTTTATGTTTGTAGTTTTGAGATATTTGGCAAAAAATTTTCTGAACTACGGTTATAAGTAATAGCAAGAGAAAAACAAATGTAATTTTTTTTTTGGTCCACGGACGGAGAAATTTTTATTAGTTAAATAAATGCATCAATGCATATTCATTCAGCTTCAATTTGTTTTTTTTTTTAATTTCTCTTTACGTCAATTTGTCGCTGAGATCTTTGACTTTTAATAGAAAAGGATCTTGTTGTCTTTGATCATCGATATCTCAGCAACCAATGACCGCACAGCGAATGTAAGGATAGTTTCAAAAACTGGAAGAAATGTCCTATAAAATATTTTCACGATTTTTTGAAAAAAATTCTTTCACTCTCAACATTGATTTAAAGAAAAGAGTAAAAACCAACAGTTTTGTTGTTTTAGTAAATCTACCGCGTATTTACAAATATTAATGGGGAGACTAATGTGTCCAGTTTTTTTACAGCTTAATGTACCCTTAATAATATACAAAAGAATTAAAGGAATTAATTGTTTTTAAACATTGTTTATCAAAATAAAAAAACAATTTTTTTCAACATTATTTACAAATTTAAATGTTAAAATTTGAAAAAAAAGGAACAATATTAACTAATGTTTGAGATCATTCACCTTTTGCATACTCTAATTTTACTCATTTCAAATTACTTGCATTAATTAAAAGTTAAAATGTTTTTTTAATTGCTTTGAATTTTTTTTTGAATCTAACAGTAGTATATTATTTTTCAAATCTCAACCACCTAAAGCATTTTGCAACTTTTGACATGTACTAAGAATTTTCTTTAGTCTTTTATTTTATACATACCACATGCATTTTTTTACTGTTATTTATTGATTTTTTCTTTTGTACTATGCGAAAAATTACATTGTTTTTAAATGTTCCAAATATTAAATACATTAAATTCAGCAGAAATAGAGAAGAAGAAATCGTTTTGTTGCGTAACTGTATGAAAATCTTAAAAGAAACTTTTTATGTTATTAGTATTGATTTAAAGACGATTAATTTATTAGGTTTTTTTGCTTATGCACCCATTGAAAATATGAAAAGTCGATGCTCATGCCATTTGCTGTAAGGAAACAGAAATAGGAACAGATGTAGCGGTGTTATTTTGTTTGGATTATCTCGTTCGAAAAGTAGCTGGTGGATTCTGGAGTATTTGTGCAGTAGATTAGCCAGACCGGCGGCTAAAAACCGTGTTTGATGACACACAGCGAGGGACAGAAACTGGGGACCGCCACCAACGCGCCACGACATTTCGTATGCACTGTGTATTTAACAAAGTGACAAGGGAAACATGTGTATTAAA